TAAAATCTATTCACACTCCCCACTGGTTTTTCCCCATCCCTCCGACTTTGCTGGGAGTGTCGATCCAAGGCTGAAATTTAATTTGCAATCCTCTCCCTTTAGGTCATATAAGAGTACCCCTTTGCTCCGTAGAATCCTTCCCTTATCTGTCGGTTTCAGTGATTTCACACCATCGTTGCCACCGCATCCATGCTAATCAAGACGTTCTACATTCTGCCTTAAGCCTTTTATAGCACACATGCACAAACCTTACTGAGCAAGCCAATAAAGTATAGATCCTCAATTAGCATGTCAGCCTAGCTTGAAGCTGCAGCTTCCCTTATCGCTATGCTGCATGTGCTCCGAGTAAATCTCGTGTTCAAGCCTTTAATTCATGGACCACGTCTGTGAACGAACTTATCTACTAATAGCCAACTAGAAATGGCCACTACCGTTTCTCTCGCTCTCCTATGTACCAGCCCTCAAATGTGAGCCTATTCAAATCAAATAGAACCATCAGATCTGGGGATTAGCACGAAACAGAATGTTATAAAAGACGAAATAAACGGTAGTGGCCATTTCAAGTTGACTACTAGTAGATCAGTTTGCTCATAGACGTGGACCATGACGTAAATGCTTGACCACGAAATTTACCCTGTGCACATGCGGCACAGCGATAAGGGAATCGGCTTCGTCAAGTTAGTTTGTCATACCAAATGAGAATCCAGAATTTGAGGGCTTGCCTAGTAAGACTGGTGTCTACGTCATAATCTTCCATCCTATATCCTCATCACTCACAATTTTTTACCTGTTTATTTAAATGTGGTATAGTGTGCCCTTTTGAGCAGCTTTCATGAGAACCCTCAACACTCCACGCTGGCTTTCTCACTCCCCTCACCCCCTTCACCCTTGTGCTGGGAATGTTGATCAGTCTGCCATATTGTTATGCAGTCCTTCTTCTCTATGTCTAAGTAAAGTCTCCCTCTTGCCCCATAGGATCCGTCTACTATCTCTCTGGTTCAAGTATTTCACTTAATTGACCACGTCTGTTGGTATTGCTTGCTTTGATTAGGTTCAATGTCGAATAACAACATTTGTGGGTTGGCATACGAGAC